CAAAATTAAGCAAACTAAGTTTAGAATCTTATTAAAATGAATGAGAGTTAATTAAGCAATGCCCCCTATTCAACTATTAATTCAATTCAAGAGATTGCGAGAAGAAAAATTCATGAAAAAAGGATTTGTATTAACATTGAAAACCCAAGAATTCAAGAATCCATATGAACTCACTAGAAATTACAAGAAAATTAGGCCTCCATGAGGATGGGTCTCACTATTACAAGATGAAAATAAAGGGAAATCAATAACATCAAAATGAAAAATCAAAGAAAATTGAAGAAGAAATTGAATTCAAACCCTAGGTTGGACCCTTGGCTGTCACCCAAGGCCGACCTAAGCTCTCCAAAAGTATCCTAAAACCTTAAAATATCTAAAGTAAAAAGTTCTGCAAAAGTTCCTAACCCTAAATGGTAAAAATCTATTTATAATAAACTTGATGTCTTTCATAGTAACTACTATCGTTTGCGATAGTAGCTATGCGCAGCATAGTAACTACTATTGTTTATGATAGTAGCTATGCGCAACTCCCAGAATTTTTCTTCCTTTCTATAGTAACTACTATTGCAAATGAAAGTAACTACGTGTAGCGCGCGTAGCCACTATGGTAAATGATAGTAACTACGCGCAAGTTTGCAATTTTCTGGGGTTTTGTAGTGATCACTATTGCTTCTGAAAGTAGTTACTTTGGCCTGTCCCTTGGAATTGGCTTGCTATAGTGATTACTATGGTGTCTGAAAGTAGTTACTTTCACCTTATATTTTTTAAATAGCCAAAAATTCATAGAATTTGTCTGGAATTTCCTGCACAATTATTCAAATGAGTAAAATTGTAATTAGTCTGTCCCTTGGAATTGGCTTACTGTAGTGATTACTATAGTGTCTGAAAGTAGTTACTTTCACCTCATATTTTTCAAATAGCCAAAAATTCATAGAATTTGTCTAGAATTTCCTGCACAATTATTCAAATTAGTAAAATTGCAAGAAATATTTACAAAAATCAGCATAAATTAAATAAAAATTAAGAAAGTTATAATATTTGACCTAAATGAGATTTTTATACTGTTTATGTAACGTCCCGAATTTTGATAATATTAATCATTATTGTTAATGTAGATATATATGTGAGTATTTATATAAGAATGAAAGTGGAATGTGCACTCGAGTGCAAAATGATGGAATGCGAATGACATTTTAATGTGTATGTAAATGAATACGAGAGTGTTGTGCGGGTATGACTGGACTAGGCTGGAAAGAATAGGCTAAGTAACTGGTGCAGAGTTTAGGGTTTAGGGTTTAGGGAAGAAGAGGACTAAATTGTCGCCTTCTTGCTGTAGCGAGAGGTGTCTCGCTGTGACGAGAGAGTGACAGTGGAGACTGCATTTATGGGTGCAGACTCACTGTAGCGAGATTCTACAGAAACCAAAATGCAGTTTCATCTGAGATTTTCGCTGTGGTGACAGAGGGTGTCGCTGCAGCGAGAGATGCCTCGCTACAGCGACGGCGAGAGGACGTCGCTGTAGCGAAAGTGTCGCGATCTAAGGGGTTTTAAAAGGGGGTTTAGGAATTTGAGAATCATTTCTTAATTTCCCTCCTAGATCCCTTTGATTCTCTCGACCCCAAACCTTTTTCTCACTGATTAATTGCCTCTAAAGCCGTTCGTGAGCGAGATTGGAGCTTGGATTCGTGTGGGGAACGCTTGGAGGTGAGTTTTAATGGTTAGGGTTTCATTTTTCCTCCCCTTTCTCTGTTTTGGGGTGATTTCTAGGCCGAAATCGGGGTGGAGAATGTTTTCAAGGTTGAATCCAAGTGTGGGTCTTCAATCCGAGGTAAGGAAGGACTCTACCCTACTCTTTTTGTGTGTAATTCACTGTTATTTTGTGGAATGTTATAATGTGGCTGAGGTAGGAAGAGTTGAGGGAAATTGTCATGTGTTTTGATGTGCCGAGATAGTTGAACCTAGTGGGAGTGGGTGTGTGTATGATATTATACCGTGTATTACGAAATGGAATAAGGGTCGTGTGCCGTGACATGTAAATTTTGTGCTAGATGTTGTGTGATCGAATGAGGGCTTGTATGCCGAGTGTGGTGAGTGGGTATGGGCACTTGTGCTGAATGCATATATATATTGAATGGATGTTGTGAAAATGTGGGTCCAAGGGTCGTGTAATATAAATGGATGTAGGCTATGTGTCGTATGTTATAGATAATGGTAGGCTATGTGCTGTGTTTTATAAACGAATGTGGGCCTAGAGCCGGGTATTGTGAAACAAAGTGAATGGGCGAGTTATCGGGGGTATAAATACTGAGAATGGGGCGAGTTGTTGCCGGTATAAATACTGTAAAAGGGGCGAGTAATTGCCGGTATAATGTGTTGTGATGGGCGTGCTAATGCCGATGGAATATGCTGTGAATGATGAGTATGAACTACTGTTTGTGCCATAAGTGCATCGGTGTTTTGATTGAAATGAATTGTACTGAAATGCTGCTTGTGAACATACTATCTATTTGCTTATATAGTTAAATGGTTTGAAGGTGAGACTCTATGTTTTGTTGTATTTGGTAGTGTAGAGTATCACCCTTTCATTCATTTTTCAGGTCATCAAGACGATCAGCACTGGACACAGTGAAGGGACGGATGAACTGCTATAGGGCTTAGGATAATATTTTGAAATTTGTTGTATTTGAACTAGCCTTGTGGCAGTTGATTGATATGATCTTGTAACTCTTTCCCATTTTTGAAATATTTTGTGAAAATTTATTATTCAAATTTTGTGAAATTGTTATTTATGTGAAACTAAATTTAAGGTGTTACAATTTCTAAGTTTATTTTTCTATTAAAAATTTATAAAAAGATAAACAAAATATCTATAAAATATGGATTCATCAATTATAAAGAAGAAAGTTGCTCTGTTAGGATTAGTTTGTTTTGAGGAATGTAATGATATTAATTTGGTTTTATTTGGAATTCATATTTTATTGATAAATCTCATTGTAAATGAGAACTTAAAGTGTATGTGTAATACATAGTAGTTAATTACTTGAGATTTAATTTATATCCGACTTTAGTTAGAAATTTATTTGATTGGAAAATAGTTTTGTTCATATTATCAGCTTGAAATATATATGTATGTAATATGAAATTTCAGCTTTCACTTTACTTAAAAATATAAGTTATGAAAATAGATTTTTATTCCTATTTATGAACGAGACTTTTATACAAACGAAATTTCAAAACTATTCAAATCCCTTATAGTTTCAATTACATTTTATTGAAAATGATATTTTTACATTAGGAAATTATTTAAATTTTATAAGGATGTTACATTGCTTATTATAAAACTCAGCCTCTTTTCCATGTTATAGACGTCCCCCACCTCTGCAAACTGCATGAACCCAAATCTATGTCCCTCCTCATCTAATTTCTTCCTAATAAACAAAATTTCAAATTTTTTGTACCTCTAGAATATCTCCAACAACACTACTATTCCATGGTTTTCCAAAAGATTTGTAAAACAAAAAATGTTGGTAATATCTATACACAACCAACGTGGCCATCAAAATTTTCTTGCAATTTCCTCCGTCAAGCTGTCACAAACATCTGTCCACCATGAACTTTTGCTCTTGTCTCATGCCCTCTCACTCTCATTCCTCTATTCTTGTTGTATAGTTAACTGTTTCAACCTAATTGTTAATCTAAATACTCCAGTTTTTCTTTATTCAGACTAACTAATAAAAATGAGAAAGCACAAACCAAAACAAAATTATCCATTATACACAATTATATTTTAGTAAATTATAAGAGATATATTTATTAATTTAAAATAATTTTTATTTTTTTTAAATAATAAATTTTCATGCATTATAAGTAATATTAAACTAAAACACTTTTAATAAAATTTAAATTATTATGACTATTTTTAAATTTTATAAACTTAAAAAGTATTCTTATTTTGTTATTAATGATAAAAAATTTACTATATTAAATAAGATTAACTTAAAGAGATAAAAAATTTAAATTAAAAATAAATTAAAATTACATTGAAAAATAAGTAATAAATGTAAAAAAAAATAGTTAATGTAACGAAAAAGAAAATATTTTATCTTCATTTAAAATAATTCTTAAAATAGTCTGGCATAAAAAATGATAACTTAAATGAACTTACCTTAAAAAAAAACTTAAAGAAACAAGTTGTTCAATGCTCTAAAAGATTTTAGTTAAATAATTAATACAGTTTTTAAAATAAAAATGCTATTAATGCAAAATTATCATAATTTTTAATTTATTTTTTATGTGATTTGATATATATATTAATTTTTTAACAGACAATTTAAAAGTCTTATTAAGTAACAAGGTCCAATTTTTTTTATATGTAATTTAAATTTTTACTCTTAGTTGTTTATAAGAAATTTTAAATAAAATTACATTAATTAAGAAAAATTGTTGAATGTAAGTAGTATATTAATTTTAAAAAAAATTAATTACAACATCTTATGTTGTTCTTTAATTATAGCTTGATTATATTTTTATATTAAATGTTAAAAAATTTAATATGTTTAATTAATACAAGATAAATATTGAAAAAAGTAATAAATGCTTTTAAAATTTAAAATTTCTGAAAAAGTTCGTATGGAAAGTGAGAATAAGCATTTCGTTTCTCTTTTTGTCTTTTCCCAAAGCAAAAGAAAGAGTAATTTAACAATTCGGTAGAAAATGAAGGTGTGCTGAACACGCTTGCTCTACAAACGTTCTACATAATCACCATCTTTCCTCATTTTAAAGTGAAATGCTTACTGGAAAAAGTCCCCAACACTTACTTGACAACGCCTTTCAAATTCGCGACCAGAACGGTTCATTCTCTCTATTCTAATGTAAGTGCAAGGCCAGTTTCTCACAGTTGCATTTCTATTGTATTTTCATTTTCTGTTTCCCTGTTTGGTAAACGCGAAAGTTGAACCATGAGGCAAACTTTTTTTTTTTTTTCATTTTTTTGAGTTAAATACAGTTAAAATTTATTATTTTACAATAATAGGTGAAGAAAACAGTGGCATTGGTTTTAAACGAGTAAAATTTGGGCGAGACTGAGTAAATTAGGCCCTAAAAGTAAAGGGAAAGACAGACGGGTAAAGGGGTTTAAGTAGAAAGGAGGAAGCTTAGTAGTGATAAAAGTAAATTGATTATATTGAGAGTTAAGAAACTATGTGATTTTCTGTTAATTGCACGTGCTCTTTGTTAATCATCTTATCTTTATCTTTTTTGTCATAGTTTTAAATTTGAAAATTTCCTTAAAATGCAGAACTTATAAGACAGGTATTTATACGTGTGGTTTTCTGAGGGGAAAAATTTTTGTGGCGCAGAACTTCTGGGGTTAGTGGAGGTAAATATTGGAATAGTGGAAGAAGATAAAGAAATGTTAGACCCCAATGTTGTTGGCGATAGCGTGTCACAAAGTTGTCGGTGTGATGAATTGGAAGAGAGAAGCAAGAAAGCTGAAATGAGGTGTGTGGAGTTAGAATTTGAGCTTCAAAAGAAAAAGGAGCACTGTGAAGCACTTGAGGCTGTAGTTAGTGCACTGGAAGGAGAAGAGTTTGCAGTTGAAGATGAGGTGAAAGTTTTGAGGATGTTGAGTGAAGGACTTAAAAGGAAAAGAGATGTTAGCAGTGAAAAGGAGGGAGAGAGAAATGCAACTGTTGATTTGGCAGATGACAATGAGGCTGTTCAGTTAATAATTGAAAACAAAGTTTTGAAATGTGAGAAGGAAAAGGCTGAGAGTGAGGTTGAGGTCTGGAAGACCAAGTACAAGAAATTGGAATCGTGGGCGTTGGGGAAGGGAAGGGGCAGTTATTATCGTGAAGAAGATGTAGAGAAGCAAGATAAGAAGCCTATGAGTAGTGAAGGAAATTTGCTTCTTGATACGAACTTTAAAAGCTGTCAGAATAAGGGAGAAGTTGTGGATTTGGGGAATAAAGAAATCGGTGATATCCTGTCAGCAGGTAATAACTTGGCTACACAATGGAACTATATCTTTTGTTTGTTTGTTTTAGTGTTAATATTATTTGGCAAATTAGCTTTAGAAAAACTTTAATCAATTGTTTTACATAACTGCAATCCTTAGTTAATGAAGTGGGTGGCAACTACAAATATTTCATGACCTACTTTTTTATGTTTTTGCATACAAGTAAGTGGTTATGCACTTTTATCTTTTAGAACATACAATCAAATCAGTTCTCCCTGTGTCAGGATTAGTGTGTTATGTTTGTTTTAATCATTATAGAGTATTAGCTGTGTCTCCGTCTAGTGATTCGGTAAACATGAGAATAACAAGTACATTGATCTTGATGTCATTGGAGTTAACCTGCTGCACTAGCTATTTCTTTAATGTGTCCCATCTAAATTCAGAATTCAACAGTGTGGTTCACTTTATTTCTAAAGTAAAAATGCTGCAGTATCTGACGATGTTTTTATATTTGTATCTGCGGGACTTGGTAGCAAATACACCTTGTGATGGCATATTTCAAAAAGGTCCCATCTCAAATGTGCTTCCGGGCACAAAAATTATAAAACAGTTGACATTTAAAACTGAGGAATCTCCTAGCAAAAAGATGGCTCCATCGACACTTATTGGTGGAAAGTCTGCTTCTGTCAGTGTATTTGATATCATTGATAGTGATGATGAACCTAATATCGCTCAGAACCCTGTACCAGATAAGCAGGGGAGCAAAAAAATTTTATTTCAACATGTTTTGGAGAAATGGGAAAGAACTCTAACAGCAGTTGTTCCCAAAACAATGAGGAAAGTTTGGATTTTGGTGAAGATCTCTTATTTGTTGCAACTCCCAAGAGAAAAAGAACTTGCAATGTTGTTACAAGTGAGTCTGAAAGTGATGATGATAATATTCCAATTTGCAAGCTTAAAAGGATGCATATTCGGGAAGTAAGTACTGACCAAATTAGACCTGACTTGAGTAGTTCACGTCCTACTACTATTTCAGAGAATGACAGTGTAATGACTAGGCGCCGTCTACTGCCTCTCAGAAAATGTGTAAGCAAAAGTCAGGATGATAAAATATCTTCAAGTAGACCTCGTAAGACCAAGCATCATCAAAGTATTCCAACCAATGCCAATGCTGATGATGATGAATCAGAAGAGAATTTGTTATACAGTGAGGGGGAAAACATGAGTGACTTTATTGTTGATGATTCTGATGTATCTAATTGCGAAGAGACATCTAGCAAGTCACAAGATGATACTAATTGTGATGTAGACTCTGATTCCAGTAACTCAGAAGATGTGCAAGATAGTAACATGGATTCTAATTCACAGGATGTGTCTGATGGAGATGTAGACTTTGGTAAGATATTATCAAAAATTCAGAGGAGCAAACCCAACAAAATGAAGTGGGAATTTGAGGCTGACATGCTTGCAGAATTTGGAAAGGATCCAGAATTGTGTATGAAAGCCGTATGTGCTCTTTATCGACAGCAAACTTCTGAGGAACAAATGAGCAAGGGAGCATTGTTCAACAACCACCGTGGATTCAGCAAGTTTGATGCTCCCAGGTAGGTACAAAAGATAATAATGTATGCTACCGGGTTCATGCCTATCTTATGTGATAGGATTCTTGTACGTTGTCTTCTATTTTTAGGGGAAGGGGGCGGTGGTTTGTTATGATCATTCGCCTTTACCCTATTTATTTTAGCTTGGTCATATAGACTTCTACAATTTCTTTTAATTCGAATCCTTGTGATTCCATAAACTAAAAATATCTTGACAATTCTTTTACTGCATATGCATTGCACCCACTCAAAATTCGTGTGATGAATAGAACTGTTATCCTCCCAGCACATTTACATTTTCTGTTATAAGTACCTTACTGATAGTCTAATTTTATTATTATTATTATTATTATTATTATTATGATGGACTGTGAATGCTGCTTGAACTATGTTATTCCATTGGTGATGCTGACTCAAGGAGTTCTGTTCCAATTACTTACTTTTGTCTCTCTTTTGGCTTTCATTAAGCTATATAAATACATATCTTTGGCATAAGGAAGCTTTAAAAGTGCTTACTTTTCTTTATATACGGGTGGCACTCCTCTTTGGTTTGTTAAATAAATGCGGCTTCTCAGTATGTTGTTAACAGTTTTCTTTTTAATTTGCTAGATTTTTTTCGTAACCATGTATAGAGCTTTTGGCGATTATGTATTTTCAACTTGGATAACAGGAATATCGCTCAGTCTGAGATTTCTTTATTTCTTTCAACCTGTGATGCAAGACTTGAAAGCATGTAGCCATCACATAACATCAATTTAACACTATTAAAAGATATATTCTGCTGATTTAAGAAAGTGGAGAGCATGTTTTTTAAGTGTGACTGTAACACTTATTTTACTTGTTTTGCTCTGGACCATTCCGTTTCATGTACCACCACTGTTTGCTTGGACTCTACTATTCTATGGATTCTAGGGATGTCCATTACTATTTCTTGGTTGCATCTTTGTGCATTATTATTACTTGGTCATTTATTTTCTATCAGTTTCATATGTTTTATTGCTGGAATTTCAATTACAGAGGCAGTAGTTTGGCTGAGTTCCTCACCGATGGAGATCCTAGCGGTGGTTTGAAGAAGTCGGTTGAGGAATTGCAAGAATATGACCCAGAAGCAGTTGAACAGTGTAGATCACTGGCGATTCACTACTCAAAGCAACTATATGAGATTTACAAGAACAAGGAAGATGCCTTTTTTCCATGACTAGAGCAGCATCAGGCTCCTTCTCCTTTTCACAGTTTAAGGAATGTAAAAGTGTGTATTTATTCGAACAAAACCTTAGCAGTTTTTCAGTTTTGGGTGTGCCTTTAAGCTTAGTTTCAGAATGTGTATATATACTACGGTGCCTACATACATGGATGTGCTATCTTTATTTTTCTAAATTATCAGTTCAGCCATGGTAAAGTGTCTGATTAATTGCTATATTTATTCTCACAAGAACTATACTAGAACTGTTTAATGCTATAGAATAATCTGGTTTTTCTTTTTTTGAGAAATATTAAAGGTGTTTTGGGGTCAGCTTGGTTTTGGCAACCATTTGGAAATTCTTCATGAAGAATAATATTAAAATTTTATATTTTCTTCACTCATTAATAGTGGTACATGATGTGATCCTTGAAGGAAACTTCATGAATGACCAAAGGATTGGATCTTGAATGAGGTAAGCAGCCATGGATTGCTTGATATTGTCCTTAATGATCATAGATTCCAGCACACAAAAAAGAAGAAAAATACAAGTGGAAAGAGAAACAATGTAGTAGCGTCATTTCAAGGTAAGTTAAGAGATTTTTTATCATGATAAAAGAATGACTTTGAATTTTCTAGAGAGAAAATCAAAGAAAACTCAAGTCGCAAAATGCCAAAAATGCACACACACAAACACTATTTTATCTAAGAGAATGGAGATTGGGCTGAATACATGCTAAAATATGTGACTCAATATAATTCAAAATACATAACACTCCACTCCAAGCCTTATGGGTTGTCTAGGCCTATGACCCAATAAATGCAAGGCCCAAAATGCCTAACTACTAGTCTTATCTAGATATGTACAATACAAGTTCAATGAACAAACTCACATCCTTCTTACATAACACTCCACTCTAAGCCTTATGTGTTGTCTAGGCCCACGACCCAAATGTAAGGCCCAAAATGCCTAACTACTAGTCTTATCTAGATTTGTATAAATACAAGTTTATTGAACAAACTCACATTCTTCATGTTTATGACACCATTTTTAATTTCTTTGCAGTGATTGTGCACCAATAAGTTGCGTTCATAAGCTAACACCCTTTTATCTTCATTATCTTTGAGGACCATCATTATCAACTTCACACAACTCACTCTCCTCAATTCCTTGGTCTTCATCACCAACAAGGATTTTAGTTCAAATTTGACTACAACTTTGATGTCATCATTAGAGTATTTGACACTAACCTTTAGTTTGAGTGTCACATTTTCTCTAATTTGAACTTTAATCCCACTCCATACTGCAAGAATAGGGTTTGCATAATGGCGTAAGATCGTCACCCACAAACTCATCAATATTAGATTCTTTGGGTCCTCTCAATCCCATTAATAAAAATGTTGAATTCCATCAAAAAAAAAAAAGAGGAGGAGAAGGAATAACCATTAGGAAAAAGATGAAGGATGTTAAAGCCTATAAATTTTAAAAGTCATGAATGAAAATGTTTGTGGGCAAGTGTAAACATCGAAAAGTAATAAATGATTCTAAAATAAGTTTATAAAATATCATCTCAAAAGAATTGTTTCCAATTACCGATATTTTCTTAATTTAATTGTTTGAACTTAAAAGATGCAAAATTAAATAAAATAAAAATTTAAATATAAAACCAATTAAAATAACACAGCCTCTAACAATAAAATAATCAAGAAGAACCTATGGCGTATGATTTCACCTTTACACTTCTCTATATTTACTTTTAGATTAATTCCAATTCTAATTTTCTTATGATTGTCAACTACTTATACTAAATCTATTAGCACACAATGATCAAGTAATGTTAAAAGTATTTTCTTTAAACTATCACTTCCAATGGTTATGCAAGGTAAAAGGAAGAGAAAACATAAAGTGTCAATTAGCTGTTAATTCAATAACGATTAAAAGAGAAAAACTAAATTTAGTTCACCTAATTCTTTTTTTCTTTCTATTCTATAGATCTATTAATTATATATAGTATGGTCACTTACGATATAATTAATTATGATATGTTTAAAAGTTATCAATTCCAAACATACAAATATAGTACAATAGGGTAAACACCAATAAAAAAGGAAACGTAAAATTATTATTATAAAAAATATCCCACAAAATCATACAAAAAATTTACTATAGCCTAACTATGGATCTATACATAATATAAAAAGAAATAAAAACAATATTAAACAAATTTATAGTTATTCAAAAAGTAAATGCAAATTAGAGGAGTCCCTAATGGAGAAAAAACAAAGAAAGCTTTTGATCCCAAGACACGTTTCTAAAACTCTGATAGTCGTTAGCTAAACCAAGCTCAATGATATCAAAAGGATGTAAAAAGATATATGTGAAGGAGATGCCTAAGGCGTTGTCTTTTTGGTTCTTTTTATAGGGTTTCAAAACCTTGATATGTTTTTATGGTTGGACTTTTCGCAGATAAGCATGGTCGTGTAAGGGAATATCCACGACGTACATATGGTTAAAGCACTTCCATACTGACCACTAGAGTATGGCAACGAAGCCTTATTTTTCATCTAATTTAAGCCTAAAAGGCAAAAAAATTCTTAATTATATCTTTTAATGTTAAACTACACAATTAATATATAAATTAATATAAAACTCAAATAAAATAATAGTAAAATATAAATATATAGGCTATAAAAACATGAAAACATACAGGTTTATCAGAAAATAAATTATTATTTTTAGATTATAAAACAACATTATTTTATATCCATGGTGAACGGTGAAGTAATAATTAATGTAACAAATTATCACTCTATTATTTAATTTTAATAATTTTAAATGAAAATGATTGAATTATTTGATAGTTATTAATCCTAATAATTAAGATTTAAAATTTTATATATAAATCTCAAGATTAAAGTAAATGTTTAATCATAAAGTAAAACATAATAAATGGCAAGTGGATATTCTCTCACCGGGTATAAAATAACTTTATAATCATGACAAATTATACTAACTTATAATTAAGCTTTCATAAGAGGAGCTCAGCCAAAATTTTCTTAAGATAGTATATTGATAAGTTTGTAATTATGTCTTATTTTACAGCCCATATATTCATATTTGACCTTTATTTTATTTAGTGCTCATACTAATTTATATATTAATTATGCAGTTTGGTATAAAGATGCCGTAATTATACTTTGGATGTGTTTTGGGCCCAAATTGATAGAAGATTAGAGCTTCGCAGCAGTCAGCACGCCCAGACTCTTTCAACAAGCACGAGGGTGCTTCGAGCCCATGCACAGTCGTGCTTAAGACCTTGCACGGCCGTGCTCATCTGCGAGAAGCTCAATTATCAAGAGTCTTTAGGATTTTCAAACCCTATTAAAGGATATCTCAGGCATCGTAAAAGAGACCGTTTTTACATCTAGTCTTTGACTTTTGGAAACACTTCTCGTCTCTTTTCTCTTGCACGGGATCCTTGGCACATGCTTGGCGAGACTTAGAGCTTCGAGCTATTGTACTTGAAGATTGGGAACTCATCTTATTCTAGTTTGCTTTTCTTTATGGCTTTATTTATGATTGTTTTAGTTCTTTTCTTTAGCATGAGTAACTAAGTCCATAGCTAGGGCTATGAGAACTATTATTCATGAATTTATGGGATTTTGACGTTTGAATCTAAAATTTATTTCCGTTTCGTGATTAGATTTTATCCTATTGTGCTTCTCTCTTAATCCTAATTAATTATATTGTCAGGCGACTGTACCTCGGTTAATTAATAAATCTATAGGGTAAAACGAAACAAATGATTAGGTAGACTAAACCAATCTTTCTCTTCTAATTGTTATTAAATTAACAAGTTCGTAGGTTCCTTAAGCTTTCTCAAATTGATGTCTTGCATGACTATTGGGAATGTTAATTTAGAGAAAAGAATATTAATATTGCATGACCATTGGGTATTAGTAGTATTTGTATGAATGATTGGTAATCACAAGGAAATTGGATTTAGAGTTAAACAGAAAAATAACATAAAGGATTGAATGAGAAAACCCATATACCCTAGGTTCCTCTCCGATAAGTTTAACAAAGACGTGCATTGTATTCCTTGCTCTTAGTTTTATAATTGATTTTATAAATTCTTGTTTTTAATTAATCTCGTATCTTTGAAGCTTAAACAATTATATTAAGAAATTCTTAGTGATTGGAAATCAATTCTTGTGGGACGATATTTCGGGAACTTAATTTAAAAACCTTTTATTACTTCTCAATGAGTACACTTGCCCTCCGAACAAGTTTTTGGCGCCTTTGCTGGGGATTGCTTTTTCAATATTAAGAAAATCTCAAATTTAATTGATTTGAGCAATTTATGTTTTATTTTATTTTAATTATGTTTTGTTTATTGTTAAATTTTTCTTTTATATTTTATAATTTTCATTTTCATTTTTTATTTTTTTATTTCACAATTTTTTTTAATTATGTTCACTCATTCTAAGTGCTCTACAACTTGTTTATTTGATTCAGAGATTGAAAGAACAGTTCATAGACAAAGAAAAGAAGTGAGAACGTAAAGAATGACAGAGGGAAGGAGATCAATTCAAGATTACATGACACCCACTGCTAGAGGCACTCTTGGAAGCATTGTGATAAATCCACATTTTACTATATTTTTAGCCTAGTTTTTGTTAATAAATAAGTAGTAAAGTGCTAAGCAAACTTGAAAATATCATAAAAATTGCATTAATATTCATAATTGTGTAAATAGTTTTGATTTTTAGATTTTTATTCCAATTCTGAACAATTTGACTTAAAAGTGACTTAATCCTTATGCAGAAGCTTGAGCTGAGAATTTGAGTTGAAGATTGAAGTGAAGAAAGTAGAGGAATTGAGCCTAAAAGATGAAGAATCAAGTATTTTATGAAGGGCGTAATCACTCTGAGTACATAGAGTGAACACTTTGAAGAAGAAAATTCATAAAGATCAAGATAGTAGCTACTTCAAGTGTTTAAAGTAGATATGCAATTGAGCGCGTAACCACTTCAAGTGCCCAAAGTAGCTACGCAGAGCGCGTAGCCACTTCAAGCGTTCAGAGTAGCTACGCCCAAGGCTAATTCAGAACTGTACAGTACGTGTAGCTACTTC